AAGTGCTTTATATATCTATATAGTAAACCAATACCTTGGCCTATATGTCTACACAATATCTCCCTACCTTGGCCCACCCGTCTATATTACATTCCCCTCCATCGGCCCACCTGTCTATGTAATATATTACCTCGTTGGCCCCCCAGTCTATATCATAAATAATTTCCTGCACTCTTGGCCCACCTGTCAATATAATAAATGTTTTACTGCTTGCTTGGCCCACCTGTTTGTACAATTCACAATGACCTTGGCCCACCTGTCCATATTACATTCCCCTCCATCGGCCCACCCGTCTATGTAATATATTACCTCATCGGCCCACCAGTCTATATCATAAATAATTTTCTGCACTCTTGGCCCACCCGTCAATATAATAAATGTTTTACTGCTCACTCGGTCCGCCCATTTGTACAATTCACAATGACCTTGGCCCACCTGTTACAAGAACATCTAGACGCTTGGGCCCCTACCATTTTTCTCCTAATCCTCCTCGTATCAGCCCTCGCATCATACCCTTACCCCGACCTCACCCTTGTCATCCTCGTCATCCTCGCATTCCCTTTCGCCCTCTACCTGTCGCTTCAGCAAAGCCAGTACATTTGGCCGGACCCTTTCGCTGACGAAGCATACCCATGCTCCGTTTCACCACCTGACTGATCCTGTGGATAGTCCCCTTGCCCTTACCGTCTGGACGGTAACCTATGACACAATGCACGACGCATCCCCTTTGCCCTATTCCCTTTCTTGATCTCTGACTCGGTGCGCAGTCGCACATGCGACTTATACTTAGATCCGCAGCTGCACGATCATGCCTCTGCGCATTTCACTTCTTATTTCGATCTTTGACTCACTTTCTTATCAAGCACGTTCTACCTCGACCAAACGTGCCTTCCTGTTATAGTCATACCCTTTACCGATTGCCTCTCCCGGTAGTACGAGTTATCACCCACTAATACGTCTCCTGTCCTTTATATAAACTCGCTACCATGTACCATATTCCCTAACTTGAATCTACTTGGTTCTTGACCTCCTACTCTTAACTGAGTGATCCTTTCTGCCTCGCCAGCAGTCTATATTCTATCTTCTTATCTGCTCATCGCGGATAAGCCTATAGTCTTGACCTTTACTCATCGACTTCGTCGACGAGCAAAGCCCCTGTTAACTAGTCGGACTTCTGTCCTTCTAATTAACGACGATCCTTACGATTAACCTTCGGGTGTCGTAAGCCTAGGCCGATTTAGCTTATCGTCTCGCACCCGCGTGACATAAGCTACCCGATTTGGACATAGGCGTTAAATCATACTTGCCGAAGACCCGCCAAGTACGACCCCTAACCTTGGGCTAGCCCAAGGACGTCCACAGACCGTTGACGACACAAGCTCTGTTTGAGTGTCGCCAACAGATACCATCCAAGTTGTAACACCACCCGTCTATATAATAAATATTCCACTGCTTTCTCGGCCCACCCATCTACAAAATTATTCCTGTACGTCGGCCCACCTGGCTATACAATGTACCTTTACATTGGCCCACCCGTCTACAAAATGATTCCTATACATCGGCCCACCCATCTATATAATAATGATTGCCTCTCATCTCCCTTCAGCCTAGCTGTCTATAATATACATGTCCATCCTACTGTACATATTCCCTGGATGGGCCCACCCATCTCCATCAGTAAAAATATTCATCCTGGCCCATCTGACATCATCGAGCATATATATAACATTGGCATAGATGGGCCCACCCATCAACATCAGAAATAATATTCCCCCTGGCCCATCTGTCAACATTGGGGATATACATCACATCAGCCCATAGTCCGCTGGCCCATCTTATACGGGATATTATGTAGGTCGGGTGACCTGTATAATATGGAATTTGTCACTGAAGGGGCTCGTTAGTGAGTGTGAGTGAATAGATGCAGGACTCACAGCTTTATGTTGCTGAGAATTTCCTGTAAGTAATAAGACCGATCTTCACATTCCAACTGGGAATTATGTGAATTGTTGCGTGTGGGGGAACTGGTAGCAGGAATGAGTGAGTTGTGTTCTGTGGGAGAAGACCACTCTTCACAGTCCCAATCTTCACAGTCTGAGTGGGGATCATGGGAAATGTTGTCGCAATCAAGTGGGGGATCCAGTGGGAGGAATGCATGAATCCCACTCTGCAGGAGGTTGTGTTTGCATTTTCTTTGCCCTGTTGCTGAAAAATGCCTATGAGTCCACATTATAGATTCGATTGAAGGGCGGGGACTTACTGAGCCACTCAAAGACGTGCCTTCGCATTTTGGCTGTCTCGAACTCTGCAAGGCAAGGTAAGCAACATTCTCTGTGGCTAAGAGGCATTCAGCTTACCCTGGTTTGGCGAGCCAACACTCTGTAGCTAAGTGTTGCCTCAAAGCAGGACTACAAGATTTGTCCTGACGACCCTTTGAATTCCAGTGTCAGATGAATCAACACAGGTGCGAGTGTTTGAGCTTACCATGCTGCAAAATTGAAGAAAAGAGAGACAGTCTCTGGCGAGATACTGATGATTGATAACAAATTTCTTCTTGACAACATCATTGATCTGCAAGAAAAATTGAAGGTACAGGTGATATGGTCACTGTCTTGTGACAATCAAAACAATATATGTTTTGACAGTATCTGTCATTGGAAGGTATGAGTAAGACAGCAGCTATCTTGCGCAGAGGTTCTGCTCAACTCAACTACTATATTTAGAAATGTTGTGGATCCAAGGCTGTCCAAGGTTTGTGCTCTTGAAGTTGCCTCACCATTGCCATGCATGCCTTATGTTGTGCTTGCTGTGACATGCACCCCTCTATTCTATTTCAGATTGTTTTCCAGACTACATTAGGCCCCAATCTTCACGTTCTGCTCAGCTCTGAGTCAGCAGGACATGGCTGTTTCTATGTCATTTTGTGAGTAACTTGTCGATGTTCACTCTCAATGAAAACTTGACATGTAGGTTCAATTCAACAATATCATGGTGTCTCTTTGAATACCCTAGGTTTAACTCAAAGACACTGTGGTATCTCTTCAACAACCCATATATCATGACCCGCTGGTGTTGGGCTCCGAGCGCGAAAAACCAGGCTGACAATAACCTCAACAAATATACAGCAAATTTGTTGGATCAGCTCGGAATTTGCCTCGATGAATATATCACCTCTGCAAGGCAAGTGACTATGTCATTGTGAGCGGATTGCTGATGTGGGGCTTAGTGCTAACAAGCTTGGAATTCCTAGTGGTATCTATGCTTGGCGTTGGGACTCAAAGAGCAGCAGACAGGGACCTGAGGCATGCAACGAATGTATGTCTTTTCAATTTCATTGCGTGCCTCATGTACCTGACACATCGCGGCTTGTTTATTTGCATCATCGCGTAAATTATTGTAGGCACATCTACACCTCAGCACTGTGTGTCTGCACCCCAACACTTCCTCACCACTGCACCTACAATGGATCATGTTTTTCCAGTGAACAACTTTGATTCTAACAGTAATTTCACTATTCCCTCGTTCAATGATATTAACTGGGAGGACCCAGCGCTCTACACTATGCCGCTTACCAAAGAAGAGGACACACCCACCAACTTGCTGCTCCTTCCAGCATTCATCGCCTATTCCTCACTCCCTGACTCTCCCACTCGCACACCATCACCCCACCCATCCAAAACCTCCACCCCTTATCAAACCTCACCAAGTGCCAACTGTGCCAGGCCACTTCATGAGGGGAATTCATCCACCTTGGCAGCATGCAATCCCACACGACCTGTTATTCGTCCTCGGATGCCACCACCTCGGCTGACAGGCACACAAAAAGCATCGCAGAAGATCAAGAGGGACCAGAAGAGGGAGGCAACAAAATGCTTACATGATGGTATCTCCGAGTTCCTCAACAAGCAGAGGGTGAAAATAGAAATGCTTGCCCGAACTCACAATGTCACCCCAAAATATATCAATGACATCATTGGCATCCACATGAATTACCACAACTCCCACAAGCCCCGGTTGATCCAACACGCTTATTCATGCGAAGGCAAAGGAGCTGAACACCGGTAAGTCTTTTGATATTTTTAATATGATATCACTGCTTATTCTATGTCATTCAGACAAACCTGCAGGGTCACGTTACACATTGGCTGAGCTCCATGAGATGGTCACACATGACTCTCAAATGAAAGAATTGACAGAAGAAGAAAAGGCAGCTTACATAGAGGCAGCCCTCAATGAACATCACGCCAAGAAGGCACTTGGTTTTCATGCAAATAATTCTGTGGCTGCACAAGATGTGCTAGCCACAACAGAAAGAATCGTGAAAGAGGTATGTTTTTTTTTAAAAAAAAATATTGACTACATCTACCTACAACTAACCAAACTAAACTCGTACTAGCTGGACGACCTACATGTTCGGACCAGCATCTATGCAACATTATTTGTCGTCTGTGGTCACATCAACGACACAATTCAAAGCACCATGCATGGCACTGACAATACAGAAGACTTTTGGGAAGATGTTTACGAGCATCTGATAGCAGATTTTCTGCGTCAATATGAACAATGGGCGTGCACACAGAATCAGAGTAAGTCTATACATTATATATACTTGCTTAGCCGTCATTGAATATTGTGCAGATCTTAATGAATGCAAATCTTTGGAGACAATGTGAAAGCAAGTGCGTAAAATGATCCTCCGAGGGTTGTGTGAGCAATTGTGTTGTTTTGCATGTGCTGACCCCATCTGACACTGTTTTCAGTTGCAGTGACCAGTAAAAAGGATATCGTCATGAACTACCATAACTACAAAACCACAATTGTCGAAACATATGGAGTGCGCCTTGTAGGATGGCCCCACAGGGTCAACTTCATTAGTCCTTCGAACATTGGAACAGTTGGTGACATTCAGAAGCTTCGAGATGCACTCAGGAGTCATATCTGCTACTGGACAGTCCTCACACCAGCTGAAGTTAAATCCCATGCAGCTGAACTTGATGTGCACCGTTTAGCTGGTGAAACTGTTTGCAAGCCATGCAAGAAGCGTTCAGACTCTGGAGTCCCTCAAAAGTGCAAGGCTCCAGCTGCAGGACAGGCTGGTCAGGAAAATCAGCGAGTGTCGAAGAAGGCGAAAAGAACTGGTCCACAGCTTCGCCAAGCTCCCAAGAGCTCTGAAGTTGTTGAGTCATCAGACAGACTTGAAGATGCTGAGTAGTAGTACTGGTCCATTGCCATAGTCTAGTTTATGGACAAAAATATATGTTCTCAAGTGCACGTATCGTTAAAATGCGGTGTTGATCTGATTACTTGAACATGAGATTTGCGAGCTCGTCGCATCACACAGTGAGCTCGAAGTTTTGGATATTTTTAGCCAACACGAGAAACATGTCATGTCATTTGCCAATATGCTGACAGCAGTCATTCCTATAGTCCTGTTGCCATGTCAAGTCCCTCTTTATCCAGGAGATATTGAAGGAGGCGGTGATCCACTGAAACTGCCTCACCTTAGAGGTGCGATACCCATCTGCTATCACCTATAACAAGAGTATTTACATGAGAATCACAGGTGGGTAAAGGGTCGGGGTGTGCCCAAGGGTATGAATATTGTACACCGTACCCATACCCGCCAAACCCGTTAGCATATAACCGCGGTGTTACCCATACCCGTGTGTTTCCCTACTCAGGACCAGCCTGCTTATATAACCATGGGCAAGTGGAGACTGGCCAGGTCATTTTCGCTGATCAGTGGTTGTTTCACTAGGATTCGGCATTGCCGAATCTGACCTTACTGGCCTGCATGGATTTTTCCATCACATCGCAGTAATAATATTCGTGTCAAGCAATGTTACATATAGTGTATCTGCTGTGATACGCAGCTGCTCTGATAATTTATTGATATTTATTATTGTTTATTATTGGCACATAGTCCATCGCATACCATATGACCTTGCTTGCAAAGAGCAAGGTCATTTTCTACTTGTGCTTCGGCGCGGCATTTACACCGACATTTTTCCTGCACAAATTAAGACACAGCTGTGACATAACTTAACCAAGGCGAAGGAATTTTTCAGCTGGTTGATCATTCTTATTTCTCTGACAAGTTGACCCCTATATAATGAGAAAGACACCATGGCCAATATTATCCGTTCTGCAAAATCATGCGGCAACTGGGATGACAATGAGCTGATCCCATACAACATAACTGTCACTGCCGTATCATCACAGCAATTCTTTCACCAGGAGACAGATGTGCCCCTGACCATGGCAGGCCTTGATCCTGCACTCGCCACCTCTGACTTAGACATGCGCTCCGATGTCAATATCTCCTGCAGCATATACCGTTTTCTCGGGTATCTCCACTCTTCCATCACGCCGAATTATGATCTTCAGAACATTCGTGTACCAAGCATCAACGAATTCGCTCGTCAGGCTCTCATTGCAGTTGGCTTTACAGAAGGCCCGTATGGCATGTATTCAGCATACCCGATCCCATCGGTAACCGGCGATAATATCCGCCAAGTCGCGCAGATAAGCGTATGCTTGGTGGATACTGAATCAATGATGCTAATTCTTCTACAAATGAACAAGACGGAGACAGGTCGCTCAAATGTCGAAGCATATATTATTGCAGCAGCCATTGCAGCCTACCAGTACAACAATAGCAAGCAGCAAGAGAGGGGCCTGCATCCAGTTGATGTCATGACAATGCCATGCATCACCATGGTTGGGACGCGCCCCACCTTCTACTTGGTGCCTGTTACCAAAGCGTTGAGTGATGCGGTCATTACCTGTCAATATCCGTCAGATAGGACTGAGGTGTTGAAATGCGAGGTTCCCAGTGACTATGATGGAGGCATGGAGGTACCGGAATACAGGGGTGTCGCCTTGCAATATTATGTTGCATTCAAATCCCTTGCTAAAAGCAACTGGGAGAAGTTTATTGGTTAAGACCTAAAGGTGGTCTCTAATTTGCAGTTTATCACAGGAGGTATACTAGGGACTGACGGGTATTATGTAGGATCGTAATCTACATACATGCATGTATCATCTTCGCTAGAAACGATCTAATCCACGTTTCGAACAACGTCCTCACAGCGGGGACATAAATCATGCTCCTCTTCACGAGTATACGTCCAGCACCGTGGACACTTGCTCGAAGATGCGGGTCTAACGCGAATTGACAGCTCAAAGTCCGAGTCTACGTAGAAGAAATAAGGCGAATGAATACCAGAAACAGCTTTCAAAAACACAGAACATACCGGGTACGTCCATTGAGGAAACATAGAACCACGCGAATGAACTAGTGCCAAGAGAGCCTTCATCCGTGATAGTGACATCAGAGACGATGAAAAGCGTCTTTAGGAACGTCTCTGCGCGCAAATACCGTTCACTTACGAAAAGCGGGAAGATCAAGCTGCTCACCTTCGCGTTTGATCAACTGTAGTAAGTATGGTTGCACAGATATATTGTTGGGCAAGATAATATCGACCTCAGCTTCTAGAGAGCTCTTGAGATGCCTACATCGAAACATGCTCAGACTATGAACACAAAAAAGAATCAGGCACTCACTTGTCTCCTCGAGCCTTTTCAAAAAGAGATAGCACGGCACTGCGCATCCTCAGCGAATTAGCCATGTCTTGTTCGGCATGCGGATCACTCCACTCAGTGCTCTATTTGGTTCAAGAGTGTTAGGGAAAGTACAAACTGCGACATCAATACTCACGACAGGAGTCCACTTCTTCGCAAAGACAGATAGCTGGGACACAGCTTCATCACCTTCATGGAGAGCAGTGTGGATTTCCTCCGCCAGGTAAGGGAGCACTGGGGCCATTGCGGAGGTCATAGAGTCAAGAACCTGGTAAGAACATTAGTTCAACCGTATAATCTCACTGGATAGCGCTCACTTTGGCAAGGATTGTCACAACTGCCCGTCTCTCGACACTTTGAATGTCGTTGGCATAGAGGCAGTCTTTCGTAATATCAAAGTAGAGCGATGACAACGTGAGGTTTGCAAAGTTGGTCAAGGAAGTCATGACTAGCGCGGGGTGAGCATGTTAATTCCATGAACACGATGAGCTCCCACCTTTTGGGAAGTTATAGTTTGCATATCCTTCTGCAGCAATTTGATCAAGCTCGTTCATCACAAAGCACTCAGCCTGTCGCAAAAATCAAATTTGGTATTACTATTAGACATCAATTGAATGCGTGAACTGACCAAGCACAGTTCGCTGCGTTCAACCGAAACAAAGTGCTTTCGTTGAGCAGTTGTACCAATATTTCCAAGAATAAACCGAGCAGAATTACGGATTCTTCTCATAGATTCCGCCCGTGCCATTGCGTCAAGCTTCAGGTCCACCTGCAAATTTGGCGAGTAGCTCTGGGGTAAGGAAGTCTTCAACTGGACCTTCCCACCAATGAGCCACGCCCCGTTCAGACAAAATACGTAATATGTGAGTGAGGGATCCGGATGAGAGGACAGCGGTATCTGTTGGGGTGTGGTGTAGAGCCGGGATCGGGACACCCCACACTCGCTGGCGAGAAATGCACTATTCAGAACGTGAACGAACGAATGACTCTAGTCTATTGCGGGTGGACTCCAGCAGGTTGACAATAGCCTTGTTTCCACCCTTGAGTACCTCTTGTCCTACTAGTGTTCACGCAGCTTCTTCGCCTACGACATGAGCAACATCAAGGGAAAATTTTCCAGCATCGTCAACGTGACAAATGATATCCGTGGAGCCCTGCAGAAGACCTAGCGATCGGAACGCCAGGTAATCTTCTGCGCCGTGTGCGGGAGCGCAGTGCACCGGACCGGATCCAGACTCCGATGTGACATGAGCCGCCGCAATGATCTTTGCGCTCACCGAGCCAGACGGGTGGATCAAAGAGAAGACGGAGCGGAATTGCGCGCCTAACAGATCTGTGCCTTGATTTCAGCAATAACTTCGTAGGGTCCAATGATGTGCTTCAGTGAGACGAGACGATCTTTAGCAACAACGAGAGAATCTTCCTTGACAGATGAGCGCACGAAAATGAACGGCAATGCCCTAACGAAAGAATATCTATGAGGATGTTAAGATTGATGAAAGTCATCCATACCATGTTTGCTGTGAGATTCCAAGGTGTAGTAGTCCATACTAGCAAACTTGCCGAAGGTGCCTTAGCTAAGACTTCTCGGAGAGCAATGTTCGCGATTTTAGTCTGCGAGTCCAACGGAAAGGTCACATAGGCTGAATGCGAGACATGATCGTCGTTATAGACGAGCTCCGCTTCCGCAAGAGCTGAATGCGACGAGGGAGAATAATGTACTGGTCGGTAGTGCCGATAAATTAGACCTACGTGGTATATGAATGAATAATAAAGTTGTGTGCCAGGAGACAAGAAATCGTATACCTTGCTCAACCATTCGTTGAAATACCTGAAGCTGACGAATCTCATAATCATGGTCTTCAGGAAGAGGTCTGTAAGTCAAAATGTAGCCATAGATGCGTCTCAAGTCATACCAAGTGTACGAAAGGTCGTGTTTGGGCTCCCATCGGCCATTATGCAAAGGTGCTCGAATTCTTCCTGCTGCGTCGTCATTTCGCGCTCTGCCGTTTCTCTGGCTGCGGCGCGTATGACATTGGGTGGTAATGAAAGAGCATCCTTCTAAATTTCATATTCATTCGACGCGACATCGCTAGAGGGAAAGAACTACGTGCCTTTAACTCATGTAGTGCCTTATTTTCAATGGGTAAACCATGACAGTCCCAGCCAGGATGATAGCTTCGACGGATGAGCGTTACTATTCAATAGTAAGAAGGAAGAACTCACTTGACCTGTCAAGACTTGGTACCTGTTAATGATGTCCTTTATGATTTTATTTAAAGCATGTCCTGGAAATAAAATATTGTTATCGCGGATTTTCATATGATGTTCTTTGCATACCCATGTGAAGGTGACCGTTCGCATAAAGAGGGCCGTCGAGCAGAACGAAGAGTGGTCTGTGCACATTTTAAGCCTATTTACTGCTGCAGTTAACAAGAAGCATCGACGAGTTTGAGCGACGCACCTGCCACCGATACAGCTCTTCGCAAGTCTTCTTTTTATATAACGACTCGGACTTTGCTGAGTCTACCCAGAGCGGAAACGAAGTCTTTAGCAAGAGAAGAGTCTTTGAATAGGCTTTGAGGTCTGTGCTATTATAGCGTTCTTCAAAGATTGGGAAAAATGGCGACTTTTGATTAACTTGAGGAAATGCGGGCGAATTGGCCTCGTGGCGATTCGTCCAACCACCAGACACATGAAGCTAGGAGCGCAGTCAACTGGCCGGAAAATGAGCGAAACCCTAACCTTAATACGACGAGTTCAAAATGGATCGCAGAATTAACCGCTTGTCAGTCACCTAACGTTCTAAGTTGTATTCTACGCAAGATCGAGATTCGAGAACGCGTGTAGAATGAGGTCTATGTGGCGACACAGCCTCTCGAGTTTTTCTCACACTTCTTGTTTCGTACTTCTACCTAGTACTCACAACGCCTCCACTGCTTGATAACGCTCTCGTTTCGTCGCAAAAAGAACAGTCAGACAATTTCGAATAATTATGCCAAGAATTCGAAACGATCCAAATTTCAATATCTGTCTGGACTATGCATCAATTAACTTTGCGAACACGAGAGCACAACTCATTAATGAGAACATCGATGAAGAACAAGCAATTCAATTACTCAGGAACATATGGCAAACTAACAATGAGACTCTTGTGGCAGCAGCAGTTAGCTGAGGACAGAGAGCAGTGGGAGCATGCACAAAGGATACAAGAAGACGAACAGGAATGAGTTGAACAAGAACGCATCGACGAAGAAGATGCCGCACGCAAGGAGGAAAGGAAGAAGAATAAACATAAGTATATTCCAATCCTGGACACGGGCATTCCAGACGAACCATCTGTCACACCTTGCTCGTACGTTCTTCGTAAACTAGACAAAGGTGAATACGTCAAAATGTGGTATTTCACAAATGATGGGCTAGACGAGGTGTCAATCAAGAAGACTATAGACGACGACGCCATGGTTCTATCAACCTTGGCGGACGGATCTACAGCCTGGATCTCTTTGGCATCAGTGCGTAATGCTAAGTTGGTTATCAATGACAAGAACTTACCGTTCGAGGAATTTTGTCAGGCATGTCCTTGCTTTCTAGTTGCCTTGGAAGAAGCAAACTGGCCGGAAGACCGAATCAGAATGATGGCACTGTTCTGGAGGAACATACAGGTGCACAAGTATTGTTCTTTGCGCGACCCAATAGTGCAAAAGACTCTTTTGGTCTATCAGGCCAAGCAACACAGACACTGGCACATAGCAGCGAAGTCCTCGACAGGACCATATAACATTTTGACGGTTAACGAAAAAGTACTGGCAGACACGAGGGAGAAAGTATACTGGGAAGAACGGCTCAAGAGAGACAATGTGCACGATCATAAGGTCAGTTTATAATAATATTCTATTATGTTCTATGTTCATCTTTATCGCATTGTTTCTTTTGTCGCGCACTTAAAAATTCATATGATACGACATGAAATCGTCGCACCATTGTATTGCTTCATGCCACATGCCTCACACCACATGCCTTGCATCGCGCATCTCACGCTACATGCTACACGACGCCTATGTTGCACAATATAATGCGCCGAACATGCGCTCAGTCAGAACAATGGGTTATGTCCGCATCCAGGCACAGAGACTCAAGAGAGTCGCATAAGCACACAGCTTCACCCAAGTATGGCAACAGAGCCAAAAGACCTAGGCAGGATTTTCATCCAGGCACAGGCAGAGGTGTTCTATCTGCCTGTGCTGTTTGTTTCGGACGAAACCCGCACAGGATTATCGAGTGCAAGGCGTCCAAACCCTGGGATGAATCATACAATACTCTCTGTGCATGAATCAGCAAAGTACTCACCATGCGAGACAGGAGACCAGTCTGCAGTGACTGGCAAAGAGTCAAAGGCTGTTTGGACACCACCCACGACCGAAGGCATTTTTGTTCAGGGTGCGGCAGTGCATCCCATGGAGCTCAGGCTTGTCCTCAAGCTCAGAAAGCATAAGGCAGTCACACCATACAATCCAGACAGGTTGGAATGCAATCTCGTCAGAGCAGGTCTGCTCGACAGATATGCACACATTCCTAACAGCCTTCGCAACGGTTTCATTCTTAACATCCCTAATATTAAAGTCACACAAATGCCGCCGAACAAAGAATCCATTGGTACATATGAGCGAGAGTTTCAGTCTATTATTCAAATGGAACTTAAGAAGGGAAGATATATTGGTCTGCTCGAAGCTGATGAAGTCGAGAATCTCATTGGACCTTTTCAGTTGTCTCCATTCTCCATTATACCCAAACCGGGACGTCCTGGATGGTATCATGTCATACAGAATTATTCAGTTCCACACTCTACTTCTTCTAAATTTCCTAATGCATCAATCAACTCGTACATCAATCCAGATGATTTTCCTAGTACTTGGGGCACCTTTCACGTGCTCGCGCTCACAATCAGCCGGCTTCCACCAGGATCTCAGATCGCCATCAGGGACGTCTCCAAAGCCTATCTGCACAATTCTAATTCACCATTCGCAATGGCCAGGAGCCATCGTGCAAATCTCAGAAGAACATTTCTGCATCGACACGTGCATGTGCTTCGGCCTGCGACCATCAGCCGGAGCCTATGGTAACCTGGCAGACGCTTGTCTTGACATATTTCGCTCGAAGGGGATCAGGCCAGCGTTGAGATGTGTCGACGATCATGTTTTTATTTGCATTCTTAAAGAACATATTGCAGCATATAACGAAAGGAGAGAGCAATGGCATAGAGACATTACAGAGAGAGGACAGCATCAGGATGGAGGAAGGATTTGGTTTGGGGGACACATATTCGAAGATGGAACCCTGGAGGAATTCGATGAGGATTGTCGATTCTCTATTGCAGACTTGTCAGGGACGTCAGTTAGATCGGCAGAAGATGTTTGATTCTTGTGCAACCTATCGGACATCGACCGAGTCTCAGAAGATATTGGCGTTCCATGGGAATTTCTCAAAGACAAACCTTTGCTTACTCGAATCCCTACATTGGGATCATTTGTGATCTGGCGCAAGACAGAGTATATTTGGCGGAAGAAAAGAAACAAAAGTATCTCACAGCGATTGAGCAATGGTCGCAACAGAGCACTGCATACTCTCCTCGACGTGCAGCAACTGTATGATAAGCTCTTACATACTATGCTCGTTGTTCCCAGGGGATGCGCATATCTTACGTCACTGGAGGCGATGCTGCACCTCGCGGTGGATAAACCGTTTCTCCCACGAAGACCAGTTAAGAGCCTTGAGGGTGATCTCAACTGGTGGAAAACGCTGCTACGGAATCTGTTTGTCGGTTGTGTCATTCCCAAACCGCTTACATTATTCAATCCAGCTGCATATTCAGATGCCAGCACGAGCTTTGGAATTGCTATCATCATTAGAGACAGATGGCGAGCATGGTGTTTGCGTGAAGGATGGCAGACACTCAAAGGTCAAAAGGACATCGGTTGGGCCGAAGCGGTGGGGTTTGAATTCCTTACTCAGTACATTATCGCAATGGGAAGAAAGGAAAGGCACTTCAGAGTATTTGGGGACAACCAAGGAGTTATCGAGGGATGGAAGAACGGATGTAGTCGGAATACAGCGGTTAACACCGTCTTTAGACGAATCTTCGACCTTATCCACGATTCCGGATCGGCTTACTCATTCCATCCAGCGTACGTCACAAGTGAACAGAACCCAGCAGATGGACCATCCAGAGGGATCTATAGCAGCGCCAAACTCCTTCTCCCCGTTCTCCCCATCCCAGAAGCACTTAGACCCTTCCTCTCTGACACGAACACCAGTTACAACGAAGTGTTTGACCGTGATACAGAAGGAAGTCTTGATGACGCCGACGATAGACCTGTTAGCATCGATTCCGGCACAAGCGACAGTGAAGAGATCCGATATGGCGCAGATTCCCATTTCTTCATCCGCCAAGAGCAGCAGCAGGGCGAGGAATGAGTCCCATTTCAAAGCCGCACTGCCTGAAGAGCAAATCATCAGACCACAACCGTACAAAACAGGTTTAGTACCAATACCCTCGCAGCTGCGCCCTCATTGTTTGGCACGGGACCGGCTTAAGCTCTGGTTTCCATTCAGATCCAGAGTAGCTGTGGGACCGGACGGGAAACGTTTAGCCATAACCAAGGAGGATCTGGAGAGAGTATTGACAGTGATGAGCTTATCATGGGCGGTTGGAACAAGAGAATGTTATGGGGCAGGACTGTTGGTATTTCATGTGTTTTGCGATGAGAGGAATGTCCCAGAAGATCAGTGTTGTCCTGTAGACATGAAGACACTTCTAAACTTTGTGGCGAGTTGCACAGGATCATACTCTGGAAGAACAGCTAGGAAACTATGTATACGCGATCAAAGCTTGGCACATGCTCCATGGTCAACCATGGAATATACAGCAAGATCAGTTAAAAGCAGCTGTTAGACGGAGCTGCGGAACTCACTCCTTCCACATCCAAACGTGAAAAATGAGCACCATTTTCCATCAAATTAATCCTCGAAATTTGTTCGCACTTGGACTTAACAGCATCAAGTGACGCTGCAGTATACGCATGTCTGACAAGCGCATTCTACGCACTATGTCGATTAAGGCAATCAACATAGGCTTCGAGTCCTCCATCTGTGGAACCTAAGGTGAGTTCATATTCGCTCGTTCCCTTCAGGTAGCATAACACTCATTTACAGGCTTCCCAGTGCACTCTCCCTGGATTGCGCATGAATTGCGATAGGGTGGCAACTGTGAAGGTGATGTCAGGGCGGGTACTCATGGTGGCGTACATCAACAATCTGATGGCCCGCTGATAGGGTACATTCTGCATGGCTTTCAGCTCTGCTGCCATTCCCGGTCCCTGCTCTACTGACAAACTCGCAGCAACTTCCATAGGTGTAATTGCATTCTTGGCATCAGCTAGGTAGAAGCAGTCAACTATGGTGTCGACGTAGGCTTTCTGGGACAATGTTAAGGTGCGTGCGGTGCAATCTCTTGTTACCTTTAGCCCTAACAACCAGTTCAGCTCTCCTAGGTCTGTTATCTTGAAGAATCGCTTTAGTTCAGCCTTGAAGCGGTGGATATGAGAGATATGGTTGGCGGTGACGGCCATGTCATCTACTGACACGGTGATGACGGTATGTTCCTTCGAGGTGCACCTGTAGTACACTGCTTGGTCCACCTTCAATCGGCTGAATCCCAGTTTTGCGAATGCGCCCACCAGTTCTTTGGCCCACTCATAACCGGCCTGCTTCAGGCCTGGTAAGCTGCGCCTCAGCCTCAACACCTTCCTCTCCTGCCCCGCCTTCAAGTATCTGGGTGGTGCCCTCATATAAATCTCCTCCTGGACCGTGGCATACAGGTAAGTGCTCTTGATATCCACTTGGTGGATTTCCCAATCGCACTGAGCAGCCATCGTCAGTACGGTGCGTATGGTGCTCATATTTGCGGTGGGGGCGAATGTGTCGAAGTAGTCGACGCCATAGTGTTGACGCTGTCCGTTGGCCACAAGGCACGTGCAAAGTTTCAACTTCTCTCCGTTGGGTCCTCGCTTGGTGGCAAGTACGAAGTGGCAAGGGATTATATTGGCTGAGCGTGGTGCATCCACTATCTCCCACGTACCTAACTTCTCAAGCTGACTGATTTCGTAGTCCAGGGCCTCTTGCCATTCAATGCCATTGGGGCCGTTTAGAGCTTGTTGGAGAGTCGGTTCAGGTTGGGCTGCGGCCAATGCAAGGTGAATGTGCGCTTCTTCGTCAAGTAGATCTAACTCTGATGCCTCCAACAGGGAATGATGGGCTACAGTTGCTGTCTCCCCCTTATGGAGGGCGGCATAGTACCCTGGTCCTGGCCTGTGCCTCGTGGGTCTTGGCTCTGGAGGGGTAACAGAGTGTTGAGGATCCTCTGGGGTGGCAGGAGGAGGTGATGGGATAGACTGAAGGCGAGGTGAGTTATTATTATTACTGTTGTCGTTGTATTCGTCGTTCCACGTGACGGCTGGCTCCCCCTCATTCAGGGTATCCTCGGCAATTGGTACATCCATGGGTGCAAAGGTGAGGTTCCTCTCCACTGAAATCCTCCGTTTTGATGGCCAGTACACTCTATAGGCCTTGCTCTCCACATCAACCCCCACAAACAGTGCTTCCTCAGCCCTCGCCTCCAGCTTCCCGGCCTCCATAAGATGGACGTACACCCTCGCGCCAAATTTGTGGGCCTGTGCGAGGTCGGGCTTCGTCTTCCGGACGAGTTCATATGGGGTGGTGCTGGGGGTGGCTCTAGAAGGTAAGCGGTTCTTCAACCAGGTCGCGTAGCTGACGGCCTCTGCCCACAGATACTTGGGCAAATCCTTGGCGAGCAGCATTGCTCTTGCAT